ACAATTGGCCAGTTTCGCCAAGAGGTGACCATGGGATACCAGATCGAAGGCTTTTTTGAAGTCAAGATATATGACATCAATCTCTTCTCCCTTGTTCAGGTGATAGGTCACCTGGTCATAAAAGGAAATGAGATTGGTCAAGCAAGACTTACCCACAACAAACCCATGCTGGCTATCCCTCAGAATGTTGGCGTCGGCCAGTCCATTAAGGATGGCCTCTTTAATAAACTTTTCTAAGACCTTCCCCGAGATAGAGGTCAGGCTGATGGGCCTGTAGTTTGGCAGATCCACTTTCCTCCCTTTCTTGAAGGTAGGCACCACATTGGCCTTCTTCCAGTCTTTGGACATTACACCAGAGCGCAAGGAGTTCTCAAAGATCCGTTCTCAAAGAGCATGCCTTCCTCTGTGAATAATATGTGTAACCTATTTGGATCCATGGGGAGTTATACTGATGTGGAGTTCTCAGTTTTATTCCTATGTGTGGATCACCTCTCCTCATGTTTGTTGTGACAGTCATGTACTTCCTCTCCAGGGTCACAGTTTGAGAAGTGCTGTACCTAAGTAGCTGTCTAGCAGGGTAAGAGGCAGCATAATCTGGTAGTATCCTGAAGGCATGTCTATGTTACAGTCACTGCTGAGACAACAGAGTAGTGTAGAAATATCCAAAGTAGCTTTAAAGTAGCTAGCGATAGTCGTAGTAGTTACCTAGCCATGGTAGCAGACAATTCTATATAAAAAGTACCCAGGAATTTGGGTATCTACCTTGGACAAATCGCTTCATTTTCCTGAACCTCTAGTTCTCCTCCTTGGGTTTCCCTTATTGCAGTAATATCTTTTTTGGAGAAAAAAGTTTTAATTCTCTGGGATCTATTTTAACTTTAATTTTCATTCATAAGCTTTTTGGCAGATTTACTTGTAAATCCTCAGAAAAAAAGCTGCTAATGGAACAAAATTGGTAATTCTATGGACAAAATGCTACATTCTTCATATACAAAGTACAAAATCTAACTGCTGAGCTGCAGCTGGCACCTTTGTCATACAGTATTTG